AAAAAGGTGGCGAGTTCGAGGCTCAGGTGGGACACCATCTGAGTCTGGCTATGACAGGCTGACGACGGCTACTAAGCCAGAAATGGCCATTCCAGTCTGTTGTAACGGTAGCCAAAGCTGAACTGTCGCCGGCTGATTACGTCTTGTGCGAGCTCCCAAGGAAGAACACAAAAAGAAGAGTGCAAAAGCAGAATTCTTGGAACTTAATTGGTAGAACATATTTTGGGGTAAAAAACGCGTGTAAAGCTATGTCCACCGAGCCAATCAGCTTCTGTCCTGACGTGGGTAGCGGCACGATTGGTTTGTGGTTCAACGACTGCCTGCAGCTTGAATTTTAAATTATTGATTGACTGACTGCCAGTATGCGTTCGACGCATGTAGGCTGGTCGATAGCATTCCGTGAGCACGGCTCGCTACCTGTATGCTAGCTGCCTGCTAGCTGTTCGTTAGGCTCCCGATAACACAGTATCTCTTGTCTTTGCCGGCAATACTATCTGCCTATGTCCCCTGTCTGTCATTTGCCCCACTCCGAAACCGCTTAAGTTTTGGCAACCCCTTTGTCGCCTTCAGCACAGAAGGAAAACTTCGTCGGGACTTCAAATTTTGCGGCTAATCATGCTATTGCTTGGCATTTTACGATATTTAAATCGCAAACTCCCTTTTGAGAATCACGGGTTACACCCTTTGTCCTCAGTGGCGAAATCGCATGTAGGTGCTAGCGTCAGGACGGAAGCTAACGGAATTAATGTCGGTAGGACTATCAGCATCGGGGCGCTGTTTGTGGGCGTTTCCCGCTTACACTGTCATACTTTCGGCAAGGATAGGCTACGTAAAGTACATTCAAGCCTTATGCGCCGATATTTAGTTGGGAAAACCAATGAAATTTCGAGTACGAAGACACTATTAGCGGGAAGAATGTTTAGTCGTTGAAAAAGAAGTTAATTTCGCAGACAATTTAAAAGAGAAAGGTCAGTTCCAGATTTTTCTCCAGAAAGTGTGTCAGAACATAGAAATCACGTAAAAATGAAAGTATCGAAATTTCAGATGATGTTCCACTGATTTTGATGATTGAAAGTGCCGCATAGAATATTAAAATTGAGCAAGTTCGAGGAAGTGAATTGTGCAACGGGGAATGTTAATATCACACA